GCTCTTTATTTCTACTTGTAAATTTGTGAGGCAGGTCCATGAAGTAGCTAAAATGTATTCTATTTCAACATAGTAGAAAGAAACAGGTTTACTCATTCCAGGGCATCTTCAGATTAAACTTCCATTTTCAGGTTTGTAAAAAAAAAACTACTAAAAATACTTGCATTTTTGTTGAACAGCATTAAATCTCTGATTAATGTGTTAACTATTCAGGCTGTTGACAGGAAAATTGATGAACGTGAGTTCCTAAGTATTTCTAATTGCCTTTAATTTTTCTGTGTGCCACTTACAATGGCTTTTAAAATATTTTAGCTATTTAACTTTTCTAAAAAGACACATCAGAAGATTTGGCAACCTTAATCCTGGGTATGACTACAGCAGCCAACTTGCTAAACTGGAAGAAAAGCCAAGAAAAATCTGATTTAAATGTCTTGAGTGATTAAAAATCATTCATTTTTGTAGGTTTATAGCGTTATTTTATAATGAGGCTTTTTAATACTGTCTTTATCCAGTTTTTAATATTAAGGCTTTGTCAGCAATTCAGTCATAAGCCCCTATTTTGGGAGGTTCACAATTGATATAAAAGATTTGCACAGTAACACATCTTCATTCTCATTATGGCATTTAAAAAATAGTCTCATCATCTGTTCTCGTGGAGTGCAAAAATTCCCCAAATCTCATTTGTAGTCTCTATTTCAGACATTTTCTGAACTTATTAAAAGAAAAATGTTCTATAGATTTCATTGGAAGTGTTTACTGGAGAACCAGTTGCACTATCCGGTGAATGCACCTTTGGGTGGGTCTGGCTAATGCTTCTTGGCAACTATATGTGTTTGAAAGAGCACCCATTTCAGTCCATCTTCTCGGGGAAGCATATATTTAAGGTTTTTAACCTGATACAGCAGTGATTCCAGAAAAATGGTAAACACACACAGTTTAAATATTCCAACTGTCACAACTTTATTTGAAGTTCAAGCTCTCACTGCATCCTTCACTCAAATATTTAATTTTTCAGGAGAAGAAATGTGCAGCTACCATTCTGAGTTAAGACTTCATATTGAGGTAGTTGGGTTTTGCATCACTGTCTCATTGGCACACTTTATAACCCTTTAAACTGAGCCATCAATGTTTTGTTGTAGCATTCCTATTAGTGAGTTCACATATGGGTTTGATTACCCTCATGTGTTATCAGGTGGAAGTGTAATTCCAGATTCATTTTTTTTTTTTACTCATGCAGTAAATCTTCTGGTTGAAAGGGTCTTTAAGTTTACTTAATACAATCAGCCTGCAAAAATCTAGTTTCTGTTCAGTTTGCTGTTTGATTTACTTCTGGATCTATGTATGCTAGGATAACATTTCATTTTGAAGGATGGCCACCAACATTTCAGCAAACAATTCTGGCTTCTTTGAACAGAGCAGAGGAACATATTTTGAAATCACACCCATGTCCCATCCCTAGAAGAAGTCAGTTTTATTTTAAGAATTACTTTGACACTCCAACCTGTTTGCAAAGCTTTCAAACTAGTAATACTTTACAATTTCATTTGGTTTATTTTAAAATCCCTTTGCATTGCACTGTTCAAGAGAGATGAAAAGCTGTGTTAATCTGTTTATCAACATTCATCTTTGAAATCGCATCAGTTAATGTGCACAGAGAAGGATTTTCCTGAAGAGATAAATGTAATGACCATAATTAGTTTTTATTACCTCTGCTGGAACTTAAAGGTGTTCAGAGGCCTCACAATGATCTTTTGTTGAACCTAGGACATGACTGGCAAATAACGAGAGTTTGGTCCAGGACTGACCAGGTGCAACACTCATTCCTTTACTTTTGAGAAACCCTATCCCTGTGAGAGGTTATTGTTTTTGTTTTTTTTTTTATTCTTTCTGAACTGGACAAACGGCTTTGGAGAGCCAGTGTGCAATGATAAGTAACTGGTCTGAAAAGAAGGGTGATAACTTCGCTAACTTTTAAGACTGTATAAGTGTTAACGTTTTATTAATAAAGTTTATTTTTTAAAAGTGTAAGTGTTAATATTGGCTGAAAAATCTCATGATGCACACAGAGAATGCTTCATTGTAACCATTTGTTTACTGGTGCTCTGCAGGTGCAGATTACAGTACTAATTTTTCCGTCTTTAATGGCTGAATAAGGTTTTTATTTCTGCTTTGCATTGTGCCCAGGTTCTTTAAATGTCAGTCACTTGAGACTTTTCGTGATGTTAATCTGTGTTTCTGATTTAACAACATTTGGACTTGTGGATTTTAAAAGAAAGAGCTTCCATTGACCCTTATTCTGGGTGCAACATTTAAAGCATTTGTAAATGTGGGTATTCAGGCTCAAGCACAAAGGCATAACTTGGATCCATATGTTCGAAATGTAAAAAAGTTTGGCTTTCATAATACTAGCCATTATTAAGAATTATGTTTTGTATAGAACATAATTGTTGGCTAGGTAACAGACTTAAAAAAATCTTTTGCCAGATTTATTTGAGTTTTACATTTGTTTGTTGCTACTGCAACTTAATCATGGCTAGCAAAGCTGGAGGATTAGTGAAAAGTTGCCTGTTAAGGGATTTCATTAAGGACGTATGATGTAAAGGTTTTAGTAGAGTGCTTGTTTTAACTTACTTCCACAGAAATATCTTTCTTCAGAAGTGATTTCCTCAGCATTAAATGCCACAAAAACATAACATTAAAAACAAAAGGTTCAAAATGGTTTCATTGCTTTTCTCAGTTGTGGTCTCATTATATGTTGTGATAAATGTTTAGCAAAATGAAAATAACATAAGTTGTGATGTTCACCTATTTAAAACAATGTGATGGTGTGACCTAGATGAAGTTTACATTATAGTAATTACATACACAAGAATGCCAGTTTACATGGCACACCATTTGACTCATCTCTTGCGCAGTCAGTGAAGCAAAATGAGGGGCTACAGTATAAGAAAACCTTCTGGACACGCTGTCTGCTTGCCAGGAGTACACCTACTCCCAAATGTTTACAGACAGTGATGCAGAAAACAAAAAACTTGAAATGAGACAGGATCACAGCACTGACTAAAGAGCTGTCATTTCATGGATAAAGGTCCTCTAAGGAGCAATTTCTGAGCTGCAGAAAGCTGAGGTAACTTGGTAGGCAGTGCTCTTTCCCCAAGTCATAAATAAATCAGTTCCTTAGCACTGAGGAGAGCTGTCTTCTGTATAAGTACACACCAACAACCCATTTCATTTAATTTCTTATCTGATTAGATCAGAGCTCAGGGTGTATTGCTACAAAGATATTAGCTAGCAATTGCCAAAGCTTGAATCTCTGGGGTAATATTGTCTAAGTCCTACCCAATTGTTCTGGACCAGTGATTCTCATATGTAGTTCTCTGTGTTATGTGGGCCACATCCACAAACAGTCATATATATAAAATATGCTGATTAGGCCACAAGTGACCTGCGTTGAAAATCACTGTTTTGGACCCATTGGCTTCCTTCATAAGAAAACAGGTTTTCCAATCACTAAACTTGAATGTTTTTCCCCCACCTAGCTGGGCTCCCCTTCAGGCTGCTTCATGTGAAGATCCTTGATTTGTCTTCTGGCTCTCCCCAAGGCCGATTCTTTTTGTCTCTTTGTGGACAACACAGAATGAAAGAGCAAAAAATGCCCCCATTGTAGAAGCATATGGATTCCTTCAGCACACTCACCTTGTGCCTTCTCAGGACAGGTGACAGGATCTCTCTCCGCAGAGAGAGGCTACAGCCATGGAAATGCCTGCAACACACAGTCTCTTCTTCTGGGCTTTGGTTGGTGGGAGTCTCAGTCTTCCAGCTCATCTGCTTCTCTGAGTGCATAGGAGGTGAGACAAATCAGGAAAGTACTGAAGGTAACTTCCATGGCTGTAGCTCTGAAGGTCAATACCAATCCAACAGCATTGGAAAGTCTTCAGGTCCCTCCTCCCTTTACATTTTGGATCCATTTATCCACTCCTAATCTTTCAACCTAGTGGTGGAAGAACCTAAGCATCCTGTCTTTGTGACTCAAAAGCCAAACCTCAGTGAAATATGATTTCATTTTTCACCAGTATGAATGGTCATTCAACTCAAGGAATTTGATCGTAAAAGGAAAAGATTAAATACAGCGTATCAGGAGTTTAGAGTGACAACCTGCATGTCACTACTACTTCTTTCAAAACACAATCTAAAACCACGTGGTCGTTATATGGATGGATGCTGTGTTGTTTTCTGATGATTAACCAAGTTCTTTAGACTAAATACATAAGAGAATTGAATTGTGATCCTTTGCACGACGATGTGTCCTGAAGGTGTTGAGGTAGAGTCCAATTTGGTGTGGAATGAGAAAAAAAATCTGGTGACTTGACTTAGTCTGACTACACAAATTGGAGCCACCAAAAGGAAGCCCTATTGATCCAGATAATCTAATGGCTGGTGTACCAACTTCCAACGTAATGAAGGGAAAACTTCCTTTCATTTCACAAACTTTGGGTCAGATTCCAATGTTGGCAATAATGGTGTAAATACAGAGCTACTCCAGTGTTGACAGTGGAATTTGGACCATTATTTTAAAATAACATTTTGGAGGATTTGGGCTTTTTTTCCCCTCTCGGAATTTGAACTGTAATCAGTAACTTTACATAACTGAAAAACTAATTATTGCTTCTGCCAGCTTTTTCTCTCCAGATTACTGTAATTTTACCAAATGATACAGATTTGAAATAGATTTCCAGGCTTATATTTATAATAGCATTTGAACTTTAATCGCAGTTAAATTCACCCTGCACAGAGGTCAAACACAAAGCCTGTTCACCTCTTAAATTTCACTTAAGCTCTGTTGAGGGTCTTTTGCATAGATGCTACACTGGGTGAACTTCATCCAAGACAAAAATCTTAAACAATTTTTTGTGGGAGAGGGGTGATAGTTCAGATTTTTCCAGATTGTTACTTCAGTATTCAGTACTGACATTTTTAAGGTGATGTCTGTTTTCTTTCAGAAAACTGAAATGTGGGAAAACGAGAAGACTGAAGCAGACATGGAGGAGTATATCTGGGAAAATAGCCCCTCTCAGAAGAATGCTTTGGACACGCTTCTTCGAATAAGAGCTGCAGAGAAAATCACTGAAGTAACTAGGGAAGAGCTGCTTGGCTCTGAGATGGTTGAGAATTACAAAACCTCTGTAGTTGTACTTAAAAATGGAGAGACAGAAAACAACATTTTGCAGTACAAGGAATCTGTGATGAAACTACTGAATTTACAAGCATGACAGTGAAAATTGACATTCCATGCACATCTCTGATCTTGTGTCAATATACAAAGATAATGTATGCTAATAGTACTTTGTAGGAAATTGTGAATGCAGTTATCCATGACTTTCTGGACCTTCAGCAAAACGTCTTGGAATATTAATAAAATTTTAAAATTTCAAAAACCTTGAATGGAATTTAGAGTGAATAGAGATTCAAAAAGGGTTAGCAACAAACTTCATATGTTTCCATACAATTGAATTTTCTTATCAATGACAAAATCACTGTCTGCCAGTATCATTCCTTACCTCTATAAATAAAATTTGTCTCAAGTCTTTTCTGGGAAGCCTTCTGAGTATTTATGGGCTTAAGCATTCTGTTCCACTGTTCTAGCCTGGGATTTAGGAGGCCCTGATTTAATTCCTTGCTGTACCACAGACTTCTGTGTATCCTGGGTAAATCACATAGGGTAAGATTTTTCAAAAGCACCCATTTGACTTAGGAGGCAAAGTTCCATTGAATTTCAATGAGACTTAGGATCCTGTGTGCCTAAGTCATTTCTGAGAATGGGGCACACAGGGTATGTCTACACAGCAAAGAAAAACCCATGGCTGGCAGGGCCTGGGCTCCAGCCTGAGCCCAGAAGTCTATACAGCCATGAAAGAGCCCTGCAAACCCCAGCCATGGGTGTCTAGTTGCTGTGTAGACATACCCTTAGTATGCATTTGAAAATTTTACTCTTAGTCTCTCTCTGCCTTCATTTTTCCAGATGAAGGTAACATTACCTCCAACCTTGGCGGACAGTTGGGAGGATAACTGCATTGGAGATTGTGAGGCGTGTAATGAGGGTCACATAAGTACCTTAGATAGACATGTATATCTCTGAAAGAAGGGGAACAGGATAAAGTTAAGACCCCAGAATAGAAAATGGATGGAGTAGTGGACCATCTAGAAGGGAGGGAAAGGTTAAATAGTAGCTGAAAGGATGCAAAATAAAAGTATACACATACATCTGCACAATAAATATGTGGAATAAGTAAGAATTGTATGTCATATTACAGGAACAAAAACAGTTTGGGTGACAGATGATGGGAACTTAAATTAATTATTTTAAAAGGATATGACCTGCTCTTAATACAGAAAGGGTGTTAAATTGTGTCTCATGAGTAAATACATGACTAATGGTGCAGAAAATTCATCTAGGTTCCAACTTGTCACCATGAGTGAAGGAAGGAATTATATAGATGGTTGTTACCTTTTGGTAATTTACTCTTTGAGCAGAACTGGTCTGAAAACCTGAAAGTAGTTGGTAATTTTAGCACTCAGCAATTATCAAAAATAGTTCTGAATGCTAAAAAATGTGAAAAGAGAACTTCTTTTTAAAAGAAAAAGAGAAGTGAGCTTCAAAAACTCAGGAGGTTAAGATCCTATGACAGTAAAAATACAATTACTAGTATCAGCAAAATTAGGCATTCATGTTACAAAAATATTTCCCTTTCACTTGGGTGGCTTTTTGTCAGAATTAAAGATTCTACAAAAGGTTAAATAAGCTTACCATTAGTCACAATGTTCTGCTCCCCAGCCACAGCTGATTAAGAAGAAAAGATGCAACATAAGAGCATAGGCACCAGAACTGGGGGAATGGAGGGAAGTGACTCTTGTGCATCTGTTTAGGACTCTGTTGGAGCCATTCTACATGGCTTATGGGTACTCCAGCTTCTGTCATCTACATGTAGCCTTTGAGATTGGAATGTATATTCCCTTTGTAAAAGGAGTGGCATTGTCAAATGGGTTCTGTCTAGTAGAACACAGTTTTTCATCCAGGAATAACTACCTCTTGTGCACATAAAATAGTAATATAGCTTTGGTAACTGTTATAGTTAAGATTGAAAATGTTTGCTTAGTAAACTCATATATTCAGACTGTCAGAACTTTGCAATCCTTTACCTTTTTGCATTAAACATTCCCTCCTTTCAGCTCTGCACCAAGGTGAATTTTATTTGAAAGTGTCAAGGGGGAAAAATGGTTCAGCTGTTTTTGAATGTTTGGTTTTGAGTGGGAATAAAAGTGTAAGTGTGTGTGTGTATGTGTTTATATACATAAATATACTGTTACTTTTTTTGAAAAGCTATGGAGCAGAAATCACTGGAGAATTGAAAGCTGCAATTTGACTTGGAAAATGCTATGAATTCTAGATTAGTGCCTAGCCTTACGCCAGAGGAAATTTCTTTTCAATGTGTACAGGAGGGATTTTTAGACCTAGGAACTGATGCCCACCTAATTTAGCTGCAAAATGGAGTGGCTAGTCTGCAGAATCACTGTAGACTGACTTGATTAACTTTCTACATGTTTTGAGATGCTTAGAATCTGATAAGGTTCTTATTCTTGCTTCTGTTGCTTTTTCCCATCAAAATGTCCTTGTGCACACATAAATGGGCAACAGGAGGTCCTGAGTTCTATTCCTCTGTACAAATGAATGCAATTAATCTCTTACCCCCCCATAAACTTTACTAATTATGACCTGCACAAAATATGTCCAGATGAAACTGCTGAAATTTGGAAGTAACAACTTTGACATGGAAATAGTCTTCAATGGAGTGCATAGGAAATTCATTTTCATTTGACTACATTAATATTTTAAAATCTGAAGTAGTTTTTGTATCATTAACTCCACACCGAACAAGGAGTATGCTACAAAATGTATAGGAAATGCAAAATCCATGAAACTTGAGTCTATGTGAAGTACCTATATCTAGCTTGGATTCACTTCTCAAATGTTTCTCGTAACCCAGAGCAGGCTGAAAATTGATCCTCCTCGAGCGAGGGCATCTAGATTTGGGTGTCCTTAATCAGAGATAATTGTTTTCTATGGCAGCTGAATGGTTCTAGTTACAACAATTGGGCTTTTGACTTTGTAACTTTTTTGCAAGTTAGAGCTCCAAGGTGCTGAGGATCAAACCTTGCTCTTTTCTCTTTTTTAAAAAAGAAAACAGGAAATTTACATGTAAAAGTATTAATGCACCATTAAGCTCTTACATCAAAACAATACCAAATCCAGAGTTGCATATGTAACTTTAACTACTACTTCTTGCGATTATGCATTACAGTACAGAGCTTTTGTGACCCAGTGAGTGAGGCATTAGATTAGGTCCCGGGAGCCATGGGTTATATCTCTGGCTCTGTCACTGACTTGCTGTTTAGTCTTGGGCAAGTCTCTCTACCTTTCTCTGTCTCCCCTCTCATTCTGTCTCCTCTAATTTAGCTTATAAGATTTTGTGAGGGAGGAGCAGTCCATTATTATGTGTTCATACCGTATGTAGCGCAATGGATTCCTGACCTCAGCTGGTGCTCCTAGGTGGCTGCTGTAATATGATTAAGTTGTCTAATGTATAACATGCACTTTCATAACCTTAAATCAATCTTAAGCATCTACTACTATATTATTTTTGTAGGCCTCAGTCCATGAAAGACAGGGCCCTGTACTTAAACAACATCTTGCTCATGGAGTATAACAGTAGTAATAAATGTGCAGGTCCATAGAGTGGCTTACTGCATCCCTGTCAGTGGTGCTTTATTAATGGATCCTACTGCAAATGCACTATTACTCTGAACCTTACATACCTACATTTTTATGCTAGAATTAAACTGTTTCCATGTTACTTATGACTAGATACATCGGTCACATAACATAAGAATGGCCCTACTGGGTCAGACCAAAGGTCCATCTAGCCCAGTAACCTGTCTTCTGACAGTGGCCAATGCCAGGTGCCCCAGAGGGAATGAACAGAACAGGTAATCATCAAGTGATCCATCCCCTGTCACCCATTCCCAGCTTCTGGCAAACAGGCTTGGGACACCATCCCTACCCATCCTAGCTAATAGCCATTGAGGGACCTATCCTCCATGAATGTATCTATTTCTTTTTTTAACCCTGTTATAGTCTTGGTCTTCACAACATCCTCTGGCAAGGAGTTCCACAGGTTGACTGTGCATTGTGTGAAAAAATACTTCCTTTTGTTTTAAACCTGCTGCCTATTAATTTCATTTGGTGGCCCCTAGTTCTTGTGTTATGAGAGAGTAAATAACGCTTGTTTACTTTCTCCACACCAGTCATGATATTATAGACCTCTATCATATCCCCCCTTAGTCATCTCTTTTGCAAGCTGAAAAGTCCCAGTCTTATTAATCTCTCCTCATACAGCAGCCATTCCATACCCCTAATCATTTTTGTTGCCCTTTTCTGAACCTTTTCCAAGTCCAATATATCTTTTTTGAGATAGGGCAAACACATCTGCACGCAATATTCAAGATGTGAGCGTACAATGGATTTATATAGAGGCAATAAGCTATTTTCTGTCTTATTTATTCCTTTCTTAATGCTTCCCAACATTCTGTTTGCTTTTTTGACTGCACATTGAGTGGATGTTTTCAGAGAACTATCCACAATGACTCCAAGATCTTTCTTGAGTGGTGGTAACTAATTTAGACCATCATTTTATATGTACAGGTGGGATTATGTTTTCCAAATGTACATTACTTTGCATTTATCAACATTGAATTTCATCTGCCATTTTGTTGCCCAGTCACCCAGTTTTGTGAGATCATTTTGTAGCTCTTTGCAGCCTGCCTGGGACTTAACTATCTTGAGTAGTTTTGTATCATCTGCAAATTTTGCCACCTCACTGTTTACTACTTTTTCCAGATCATTTATGAATATGTTGAATAGGACTGGGCCTACTGCAGACCCCTGGGGGACACCACCATTTACCTCTCTCCATTCTGAAAACTGACCATTTATTCCTACCCTTTGTTTCCTATCTTTTAACCAGTTAATCCATGAGAGAACCGTCCCTTTTATCTTATGACAGCTTACTTTGCTTAAGAGCCTTTGGTGAGGGATTTGTCAAAGGCTTTTTGAAAATCTAAATACACTATATCACTGGATCCCCCTTGTCCACATCTTGTTGACCCCCTCAAAGAATTCTAGTAGATTGGTGAGGCACAATTTCCCTTTACAAAAACCATGTTGACAATTCCCCAACAAATTATGTTCATCTATGTGTCTGACAGTTTTGTTCTTTACTATAGTTTTAACCAGTTTGCCAGGTACTGAAGTCAGGCTTACCAGCCTGTAATTGCCAAGGTCTCCTCTGGAGCCATTTTTAAAAATTGACGTCACATTAGCTATCCTCCAGTCATTTAGTACAGAAGCTGATTTAAATGGTAGGTTACGGACAACAGTTAGTAGTCCTGCAATTTCACATTTGAGTTCCTTCAGAACTCTTGGGTGAATACCATCTGGTCCTGGTGACTTATTACTGTTTAGTTTATCAAATTGTTCCAAAACCACCTCTACTGAGACCTCAGTCTGGGACAGTTCCTCAGATTTGTCACCTAAAAAGAATGGCTCAGGTTTGGGAATCTCCCTCATATCCTCAACCGTGAAGACCAATGCAAAGAATTCATTTAGTTTCTCCGCAGTGGCCTTATCATCCTTGAGTGCTCCTTTAGCATCTTGATCGTTCAGTGGCCCCAGTGGTTATTTAGTAGGTTTCCTGCTTATGTACTTAAAAAAAGAAAAAAATGCTATTACTTTTTGAGTCTTTGGCTAGCTGTTCTTCAAATTCTTTTTTGGCCTCCTCAATCATATTTTTACACTTCATTTGCCAGAGTTTATGCTCCTTTCTATTTTCCTCATTAGGATATAACTTCCACCTTTTAAAGGATGCCTTTTTGCCTCTCACTGCTTTTTACTTTATTATTTAGCCACGGTGGCTCTTTTTTGGTTCTCTTATTATGTTTTTTAATTTGGGATATACATTTAAGTTGAGCCTCTATTATGGTGTCTCTTAAAAGTTTCCATACAGCTTGCAGAGATTTCACTTTTGGTGCTGTACCTTTTAATTTCTGTTTAACGAACCTCCTCATTTTTGTGTAGTTCCCCTTTCTGAAATTAAATGCTACAGTGTTGGGTCGCTGTGATGTTTTCCCCACCACAGGGATGTTAAATTTAATTATGTTATGGTCCCTATTACCAAGCGGTCCAGCTATATTCACCTGGTAACTGTTTCTTGATTTAAATATTAATATTCTAAATTTCATCTCGTATGTAGGGTGGGCGTAGGAATAATATCCGAACTTTAATAAGGCATGAAAAGTACTCCTGGCGTCCTGCAGGCAGGCAAAGAGGCATTGACTATCTTCACCAACAACGGGCCTGTTATCTCAGCGCTGGCCTTTATCAGCCAACAGTAATATAGGGCTAGTGTGCAGGTCATGGTCCAAAGCACTCCTAACACTTCCACTTCAGCTTGTCATGAGCTGAAACTTGAGCAAAAAAAAGCCCACTGTATTTGTCCCTTTGAGACATTGTGGCTGTGGGACAGGACAGATGGTTGATTCCAAATCCATGCAGTGTTCACAAAGAAACTGTAAATTCCTTGCAGTGAGAGAAACTCAGCTCTGTATTCAGTAGAGGCAACTCAGATTAGCCAAGCTATCCGTCTGTTGGAACAGTTCCTCTGTATAATTTTGCCAGTGCTTTGATGGAAGCTAAGCTTATCTGTATCTCCCACCGAGCTGCTTTAAAAAATGTCTAGATGTTGCAATCAGACGCTGATAAGAACTTTGTGCATCAATGTACTAGCTATTTCCTTGTTTCATTTATTGCAACACATTGTGATCATTTTTGGTGAAGGTAAGGGACAGCTCAGTTCAGAGCTATTGTGTTAAGAGTCATGGACTAAAGATTTTTGTATTATAGCAGACAATTGACTGTGGTATTTCCTCATAATCATCAGTAGCCTGTACAGTATCACCGCTCTTCTTATACAGACTATTAAATTAAGTCTCATGCCCTGACTGGATTAGTACATCTTAACTTCAGACCACATGAGGTGATGATGTGATCTTCATCAAGGGGAGGAACATCTCCATACATGAGATCCAGAATGTGGCCAGCTATACACATACAGCCAGGAAGCACCGATGGTAGCCCTATGGGTGTCACAGTAACAAAGAACTCTGGAGTTAATCTAGGAGAATAGCTGTCTGACTCCCACTCCCCCTCTTGCCATATCTCTGAGCATGATGTTGCAAAGTTGGCCGGTAAGAACACAACTTCCTCAGCTAGGTTCCCAAATAGGAACCTGAGAAACTTTTGTTGTTCCTTCATGTGCCTGCCATTCTTTTCGATAATCCCCCACCCTGTGCAATTAAAAAACACTAAACAAATCCTCCCCACAAGTATGAAAGGAGTCCCAAAAACATTTTCCTTTTTTAGTGGTCTTACATTCTATATGTTCCTTTCCCCTACACAAAATTTCTCCTGTGTCTGCCACTTAGGCCTGAAAGACCCGACTGAAATATGAATCCTGAGGCAACTCCAAGATCTTCACTCCCAAAATAATACTTTCTCCCTACTTCTAGAAATTAATCCATAACATATATAGTGCTTTTTGACTGTATGTAATACATCACTTTGCAAGGAGGTTAAGTATCACTATCACCAGTTTAGAAATGAGTAAACTATTGCACAGAGAGGTTTTTGAGATCACACAGCTGATCAGGGGCCAGATATAAATATATGTCTGCAAAGGGGTGGGGAAACAAACTAATCATCCTTTAAAATATATAGTACAGTGGCAGCAATATTAAAATGCATGCCTCAGGGCAGAGGTTCAGACTACTAACTACACAATTCTGTAAATTATATCTTAACAGAGAGAGGCTCTTGTGTAGACATATTCTTATTCATACATCATCCCTGTTGCAATTACAGCAACTGCTTACTTTTTCAGTATCACTTTTCTATGTGTTTGATTTTTATTTATTCTCCTAGTGGAGTTACTCCACACAACAACAACAACGTTATAGTGGTTCCAGTCACTGATGGTAGCTCTTCTAAGTAGCAAGAGCTACTAGTGGAAGCAACTATGTTGGCTCCTCTTCCTTGATTGCAGCAGCTTTCATAGGCTATTTGCAATGAAGAGAGTACCATAAAACAGCTGAAAGTCAGCACCATGTGGCCTTCCAGTTCTGCAAACTACCAGCAAGTGTTCTGTGGATCTCTGTACGAGAATCACTGCCTTACTGAGAAGAGACCTTAGTATCTAAAAAGTCATTAAACATATCCTGACAATTAAAAATTAGTGTAAAATATACAAGAATGAAAGCATTACAGTATGCTAAAATGTGGCTGTTTTACATTAAAATGTGTGATGTATTTGAGATGCAATTCAAACTGTATTATTATGCATCTGATGGGCAGATTTAAGTGTCCATGTTCAATTTAACTTTTGACACTTCCTGTCTTTTGCATGCTTAACCATGCAATATTAATGTTGCATTAACTATTTATTTCATTGAATAGGAGAAGGGCTTGCTCAGTGTAGCCGTAACTCAGGAAGGTTCTTAAGAATGTGCCTAATTTTAAGAGGCTACACATGTGCTTAAATTTAGCCAAGTGGTTAAGTACCTTGCTGAACTGGAGCCTATCTCTGCAAATAAATATGCATTCTATTCAGTATTGTTAACTATTATATATGGAGCATTCTGATGCAAACCAAAAGTAAATTAGGATATCACGTTGTTTACAACTTTGTGGCATTTGTACAAATCTTATGCTGGTTACTTCTTATTGCAAATTTTTACATATATAAATCTAATCTCTCAAAATGCATGGAAATTGCAGAAATATTCTGCAATCCTTTTTCTATAAAACCTGGGGAAGAAACAATGACTTATGGTCATGCAAAAGGCTCCCAAAGTACTTTACAAACTGAATATAGGGATTGTTAATGCTAAAATGCATCTGCTTCTGTGGTTAAACATGACAACTGTTTAACAGTCCTCAGCAAAACTATAACCTAAGAAATCAGTAATAGTTTAGCCAATTGAAACTACAATGCAATTTTAAAGGTAGGCAGAAGATGACATTACCAAGTACAATTGGGCCAAGATAGCAGAATGAATGTTCTATATCTGCAAAAAGAGATGAGATTTCTAACTCTCATTCAAAAGATGCCACCTTCTGCAATCTAGTTCCCCACACCCCGCCCTCAATCACCATGCTTGGGCACTGGGAGAAACTGACTTTTAGAGAAAAGTGTCACCTACTGGGTAACCTGCCTACTTCTGGTCAAGCCAGTTCTTTCTTAGGTGGAGAGATCACAGCATGAGATGGTATGGCGGCCATTCTTGTAAGAAAAGGGACAGGGACTAATTTCAGGGGGAATGTATATTCATACATCTGTGCTGCAAAATCCTGTAAAATAAAGTCTGTGCTATTTGGAACGTCGACTTTCTCAAGTAACACAACACCTACTTTCTGGCTGAGGGCTACAGAGGCTAGACTATGAACACAAACAGAGCTTTAAGAAAGAAAGGCTGCATTCAGCCTGAAGAAGGGCATCCCAAAGGTGCAGATCTAGTTTTCTTAGAAGTATTTATCCAGGTTTAGGTTTAGGCTACCTTAAAACTTAATCCCACAAAAGTACAATGTTCTTTAAGGTACAATATTCTTTAAGGTACAATTCTTGCTGAGCCACCTTTTAGCAGCAAATGGTGCATTTTGCTGTTGTCTAATCATATGGTCAGGATAAACTACGAGGAAAAAGTTGGATAAACTATTTCTGTATTATTACACTGAATCGAATGTTTATTCACATGGTAATGGGTGGCCAAGGAGAAAGCTCACAATGGCTATTTTTTCCCCGTTACTGATATTCCCTTTTCATCTTGCACACAGAAGAAGGCTTTTAATGCTGCTTTTCAGTGATTAAAATTAGGAGTTTTTCCCTTATTTTTTAAGTTTGTTTTTTTCTATAAACAGATATCAGAATCTGGCTTACTAATGTGTTTAGTAAAGAGCTCAGAGGATGAAAAGTACTAGTTAATGGTTTTGGTGGTTAAAAAACAAAACAAAACAAAAAACCACAACTGTTTATCATTTGTGGGGATGTGGCTGACCATTTCATTCATTTAATGTATGTAGTTATAGTAATGCGTAATGTTGTAATGTAATAGCATCTAAATGTAGCCCATCAGAGGAATCACCAGAACTTGCCAGAAACCTAATTTTAAAAAAAAATGAAACTGATTACGTGCGCCTTCATCTTTAATTCAAAAGTTCAACGTGCAGAACCAGGATCTGTTGTTCCATTTTGATCTTAGAGATAGCTGGAGGAGGCACAGGGAGGGTGCAATTATTGATGTTATCTTGTTCAAGGTAGGCATGGATGTCGATGTTTTAACTCCTTTGGAGAGCTTACCAATTTATCAGTAAAACCAGAACAAGCCTCAAAACCTAATTCTAAAAATATAAATAGGTTAGGGTTAGCTGGGAGGAGGGAGGGGAGGGGAGAGAAAAAGATGAAATTTTTGTTGCATTATTTCAGCTGATTTAATCTCTCCTCCCTCCAAAATAGTACTTCTAGATATCTTTAATCTAATGTTAATCAGTTTTGTAGTATTTGTGCACGTAGACTTATATACATAATCATAGGTCTTTACAGGCTTGTTAGAATTTAGGAAACTAGAATATAATAGTAATTAATATTCAGCTTTCACACTGACCTCTTCTGCTGTAATGACATAGGCACTTGGCATTGAATGCTCATCAGCTCATTAATTAAACTTTAGTCAGTGTATCTTATCACAAGTATACAAGTATAGTGAACAGAAACTTTACTTTAAGAACATGATTTTAATACAATAACACAAATTGAACCTATGTGTCTTTTTACACCTCTTTGTTCAAGAGAACAGGTCAAGTTACTTCTGACAGAAAGTAAAGAAATTGATGAACTCTGAAACATCACCCAGTTTAAAAGATGAACAGTCCAGGTTACTGGTGAAAATGCACTTGCCTAAGTTCATTAACCAAACTTCTTGTGTAAGGTAAGATGACAGCTTACTACCCTGCTGATCTAGTAACTTGGTTTGAAAAATACACTGGGCATTGAAGGGCCATTCTAATGAATAGAGCAGTGGCTTTAAACCTGTGGTCTGTGGACCCCTAGGGATCTGCAAACTACGTATAAGATTCCAAAGGGGTCTGCACCTCCATTTGAAATATTTTAGGGGTCCGCAAATAAAAAGAGGTTGAAAACCACAGGAATAGAGTATACAGTGCAGAACAGGAAGTGTTATTTTTATGTATTATTTATAATTTATATCATGGAAGTTTCTAAAGGCCTACAATTTCAGAGCCCCATTGTGGTATATGCTATCCAAACATATAGTAACTGTCCCTTCCTCAAAGAGCTCACAGTCCAAAAGATCTGACATAAACAGTGTAGATGACATGGAGTAACACAAATAATCTTACCCAATCATGAGCAGTAATCACAATTTGCCACCTACCTAGCCATTATAAGATTGTATTTCTCAGCATTCATACAGAGCATGAAAGTTTGAGGACAGACTTGAAGGAGGGGAAAGACTTGAAGGAGGCAGCCTGGGAGAAAGCACAAGGGTGCTTGTGAAAGAAGTGGGGAGAGAATTGAGGCTGGCCTCACTGACAGAGTGAAGGAGGGGGTAATAGCTTGGGGAGGGATGGAGAGGGGCTAAATTGTGAAAGGCTTTGCAGATTGTGATGCATGGCTAGAAAGGGTTAAATAAATAAATCCTGCAAAATAAATAACCCTCAAAAGACATGTGGGGAGATAATGTTTGTGTTTCTGTGTACTTACATATGTATGAGTAGTGCTGACAATATAATCAACAGTCCCTGTCTATGTTGTATTCTTATAATTCAGAGATCAAAAGAACATCCTAGCAGTTAAATGAATTGTAAACATGGGATATCTCAGTTTTCATCTCTCTTTGAAATGTATAGCAAATAATCTGTGAATGGTGGAGGAACAAGCAAATTGCCTTATGTTAATTCTATAGCTAAGTACCAGTGATGGACCTCCCTTCAAGTCATCCTAATTACCTTTTGTTCCTGGAAGAACTCCCAACTTGTCAAAGAGGACATGAAATTGTATAAAAGATCTTTGGGTCCTGATTCAGTCATCTTAGGTCTGCTTAAGCTTCATCGGGGGAAGTTTGAATCGCAAGACTGAGGTCCCAGTTATGCTGGTATGCCCTGAATATGAAATTTGGGCATTGGACTATAACCTAGATCTGAAAAAACTCTTTGCAGCTACAAAGCTCACCATCTCTGCTATGAATCTGAACCGCAATTAATTGAACTCTATGTCTGTATGTATATTGATCTTTTAACCATACTCTCTCTCTCTCTTTTGTTTTTTAATAAATTTTAGTTTAGTTAATAAGAATTGGCTGTAGCATGCATTTGGGTAAGATCTAAAACATTCATTAACCTGGAAGGCAATGTGTCCGATCCTTTGGGATTGGTAGAACCTTTTCTTTTATATGATGAAATAAGATTTTCAGACATCGTCATATTTGACTTAGGTACCTAGATGGAGGCCTGAGGCTGGATCATTTTAAGGGAACTGTGTTGTTTGGACTTCTGAGTAACCAGTGAGGTAATAAAGAAGCTATTTTATGCTGGCTTGGTAAATCTAAGTATTGGAATGTCCACCAGCTTTTTGGGGATTGTCTACCCCATTCTTTGGGGTTCACCCTAGTTTAGTGACGACAGCTGGCCCCCACTGGGACCCCGGTCACACAGATAAGGACAAGAAATGTGTGTCTGAGGTGGTGCAAGAGGGCAGTGTTTCATGGAGAATGAAAAATGTCTGGCTAAAATACCTCATGCTCATTTTGCCAGGGGAAAGGCAAAAGATCCAGTCTCTGGGATTTACTCTGAGAACAGAAGTAGAGGCCCTTTTAATGGAAACAGTAGCCCAGACACTATTAAGAGTTAAATGAGTGTTTTGCTATAGTGTCAAGAGACTCAGTCAATTATCTTGTGGAGGAGTGGGGACTCTGGGGTGTCTGACATTTGTAGGATATGGAGAGCTTTACCAAGTCGGAGGGCAATTGGCTTGGGAGGAGGTGAAAGACAGCGTTGCATCTAGGATAGGAAGGGGACCAGAGAGCATGGTGCTAGAAATGCCTAAAAGGGAATTGGCAATTGAGAATGCTGCAACAGGCAAAGGAAAATATAGGCTAAATATTAAAGTATATTTCCTAATAATAAGGCCTAAAAAACTGTGGAAGTCCCATCACCAGAATAATTTTAAAACAAAGAACTGAAGGAATTACAGTAGCAACAATCCTGTCCTGGATGGTTAAATAGATAACTGTGTTTTCAAACTCTAATTTCCACTGTTTTAAACTTACGGCTGTTGTTCAGGATATTAATGATCTAACAGTAACTAGGTCTGATTCTCTATGACCTTGCACCTTTTCTTTCCATAAAGATTTAGGCAAAGTAAGTGTAAAATGCTACTTTTCTGATATGGTTGCATTTTACATTTGCTTTACACATGTTCTATAAAGTAAGGCAGGGCAAAGAATACACACAGAGGAAGTGGAGAATCAAGCCCATTGTCTCTACAGAGAAGTTAGGAAAGGATTCTAGCAATAAATAAATTACTCTGGATCAAATTATAAACAAAGGTATGCACAAATACCTCCGAGTTCAGTGGAAGTTGTGGGCAAGTACATGTGACTAGAATTTGGCCCTATATCTCTTTGGATCAGTGGGTAGTAAAAAGAGAATCATAACAGGATGTTTAGTCGACAGTGTTCTCAAAAGCTGCTGAGACATCTGCCAAAAAATAGTTCAAAATCTCCAAAGGGAAACCCCCAAGAAATAAACTGAGAGAGGTATTTCACTAAATACGGTTGCTGCCTCTTTCTCCACCAGCATGAGTGATGCAGGTTATTTAGCTCCTTATTACCTTTTCGTATCTGCTATTACAAACTATCCTTTACAAGAGTATATTTTATGCACTGCCTGGACCCTGCCTCTCCTCTCCGCACTGGCTTATAGTGACCTCTCCTCTTTCTGCAGCGCCCAGCTGCCAGAAGAACAGTACAACAGCAAAGGAAGATGAAAGAAGAGCAAAGCACCACAGGGACAAACCAGGAACCTATATCCACTGCCACCCAAGCAGGTTGTTGACCCTCGTTATCCGAAGTGTAGTTCCTGCCACTGTACCCTTTGGTTTCATTGAAGTGCTGCTGACTGATGTTTAAGCGAGCAGGACTGGGCAAATGGGATATCATCTTAGTGGACACAGACATCATTTTGTCTGAATTAGATGTCAAACCTGTACTTTCTGAAGTCAAATCCGTCTCCTGAGCAAAATGGTCATCCAATGGTAGAGACCTTGCCCATGAACGTGTGGTTGGTTTGGTTTTTGGGACCAAGCCACTTGAATTGTGGCTGTGACTATCATTTGCTACAAAGCCCTGGCTAGTGGTAGAAGATGGAGACTGGAGTAGAAGAGACCTCAATGTGACATTATTGTGTTGGCATTTTTCTGAATCATCAGTCCTGGAGTTATTTTGCCTTTCCCATTTGTTAAAAGAGGAACGGGTATTTGGATCCTTATAAGACAATTTTTCAAAAACAAGAAGATCCGGATCAATCCCTGTTAAAGAAGGAAAAAAACAACACATTAAATACACATCTGAAAGTGTAAAGAATAGCATACTTGTGAATTTTCTGTTAATCTTTCAAATGTTGAATGAAAGAGAGGAAATAAAATATATACATACATGGAAGTAAACGAAATTTACAAGTTAGTTTATAACGTTGTAGACAAAGAAAAAAGTCCCCAAGATACTTTTACCATGTGTACCTGTGCTTCAAATGAAGTAAGGTGATGTTTACCCCTCATCTTAACATAATGACTGAACCGACATGATAGTCAATTACCCCATCACTGGCCTGCTTCAGCCTGTGTGTGCATAATACATTGTTACCTGTTGTGATGTTGTACAAAATGACATTGGTTCCAGCCCTCAATATGCAGCTTTCCAAGGCTGGACAATAAATGTGCAGGCAATTAATGTTCTCATGGATAGTTTCAAAGTAGAAAACTGCCAGGTTACAGGAAACTATAATGAGAAAAGAGCAAAATGGAGTTTGTGTGGGCATGATGACCCAGGCACATAGCCTTTCATATCTATTGCTTAACATTAAAAGAGTTATAATAATGGACAGTTACATAGGGCACTTAAACCATAACATTTTACCATTTTTCATTAAGCCTCACAGCACCCTGTGTGGTAAGTACTGTAAGTATTTTTAATTCTCATTTTACAATTGGGCAAGCGGGCAGAGAAAAAGTTGAGTTATTTCCATTGCAGAATAGGTATGCCACAGTCCAGTGGTATTACAAGCTTCTCCACACAGCTCCTTTCATTGTGTCTCAACCTTGTTCTGGACTGTCCAACTCTACTGATGAGATGGTTCTGGACCTCTAAAGCTGCCAGCAAGGGTGACTTTGAGATGGTAGCTGTTGTGACATGGATGACTGTCCATTAGGAACTGGTCTGAAACCACCTACTCATTTCACACAGGTTATTAAAAAGCTGTCAGATAGCAAGTGCTTCTGGTCACTACTGAGGTGGACTGCATTCGAGCACAAGGCCTACCTCATTAACAATCCCCTAAACCAGCCATCATCATCTGGTTTTTTGACAGTGCAGTATTGTACCTTTTGGGGGTGGGGTGGGGGACACAATAAGTGGGTACCTGTTAAGTCTATACAACTCCAGGTTTGATATACTATCATTTGGGTTTCAGATCTATCAGCCAAAAAACAGAAGTCTGTGGATAAAAATAAAAAAAAGTATCTAGATGTCTTAGCAGCACAAGTCCCATTGCCTTGAGACTTAGGCTTCTAAGTACCAAAGCCACTTGTGAAAATGAAACTTAGGCTTCTAAGTCATTTAGGCACATCTGAAAATTTTGTCCCTTGTACTTGTCTAATACTAATCCTAAAATACTTTTCATTAAATTAAAGTCAGGTGCAGTTCAGAACACTGGCAGGATTTCCTGTGAGACTATTTTATAGTGTGTTCAAAAGCAAAACATCTTGTCCAAAGCTAATTCTCCTTCACTGCATTGATTTACTCTTTTTTGGTACCATCAGTAAGATTACTATTAGCTTTTGTTACCATCATAGTTTCTTTACCTCATCTCCTCTTCCCCTGCCACATACTAAACTAAACTGAGATAAACAGGGCTACTTGCATACAGGGCTCAGGATTGGGGCCAGAGTCTATAGCAAAGAAGCTATGTCTGAAATGAAAAATTAAAAGGGGTATCTTGTGGTACTAATTCTCGCTGTTAGCAGAGCATATGGGAAAATGCTGACCATATTTTTGAATTTGAATTGGACCATTTGTTTTTGTAGTGTGCTTTCGAGATTAGATATACATGGTATGTGTCAGCATAGCTCTGCTTAGAACACATATGCATCAACAGAGCTGAGCACTTGCTACAAAAACATTTCTGGACTGATGCTGTAGTTTTTGATGTAAACAAATCCGATTTTAACTGCAGTGTATGTATATCCTTTACAGCAATAACAAAAATCTTTAATGTTATACTGAATCCATACAGAATAATTCAGAAACAAACAGCATGTAATAAATGTATTACATTATTGTGATGTTTATTTCAACAATCAGCCCTATGCTTTGTCCAACAGGGAACTAGCTTTTGGAATAATTTTGTTAATACCATTTCCATGAATAATCATGGAAAAATCACAACTCTTCTCCCCCCCCACCCCGTATTTACACTCTCACACAGCATTTTCAGTTATCTACAGTGAAAAAAGAGGAAGATATTTGTTGTTGAAATATACCAAAACCAGCCTTTTAATCTTTTCTCTGCTTATTTTATAATATTTTTTTCATTTAGTAGCCTGCATACTACATCAGAGTAACACAATCAAAATACTACTTGGAAATAGGCTTGTCAATATAGACAAGCAAAATTAGTGCAGTAAAAGAGATGATATTTTTTTAAAAATAACTATTTCTGAGTTTCAGGATATGCACTTGATTTGTCTATTATGAATATGAAAACACCAGCTTTCTGAATGAAGTAATTACAATTCTATTACCAATAACATGTTACAGCGGAAATAGACCAGACTTTGGGTTTTAAACGAAAACTTTCTTTGCCCAGTTGGAACCAACACAGAAAAATCAATAAATAACAGAGGAGTATCTTAAAAATGCTAATGAAAATTCTGCCAAAGGGAGGTATGATCATGTTTCAAAAACAGAATATAATTAGCGAGTTTTCCTTGTCTGAGGTCATTCTTCATATTCTGTATCTAATTCTAGTCAACTGTCATCAGCCTCCAATGAGTTGTTAGGCTGATAAAAGCTTGCGGTTAGCATACATGTGTTCTTTAATAAAAGACAGGTGCAAGGAAGTATAAACACTGTCATTATGAAAATAACGGAAAAAACATTCTGTGTGAAGGCTTCATAGAAAATTCAGACTCCATTTTGTCCCAGTCTTTAAATAAGACTCAAACACATACCAGACTTGGTGCATAAATACTACAGTGTTACATAGCCATCTTCAGTCACTCTATAAATATTTTCATCCATTCCCTGAGTGCTCTACGCATCATTGTGGGTCATGCACAGAAAACAGTATTCTCCATGTGTAAAAGAACTTAAGATTCACTGACCACTGGGTGGGAGGGATAGCTCAGTGGTTTGAGCCTTAGCCTGCTAAACCCATGAGAGGGCCATTTAGGGATCTGGGGCAAAAATTGGAGATTGCCCAGGGGGTTGGACTAGATGGTCTCCTGAGGTCCCTTCCAACCCCGATAGTCTGTGAGACCACTTGTAAGACTGGCTATACAGAAAAATGCTCTCAGCACCAATAAGCCTTTCCATTTGCTCTTTTGGTTTTAATAAATAATGGTAAGCAAACAGCATGAAAATGGCTTTTCAAATATTTGTTGTAGAATAATGACTAATACAATATTTGATCACTAGTGGACATTAGTAATCCACATCACAGGAGTTAATGTACAATATACAGTTTATGCTCAACAGAAGTTCAAGACTAAAAGATCAGGTGTATAGAGGTAAAGTGAATTACCAGGGGTATTTTGGGAAGCTGGAACAATGCATGTTTGCAAAATATATTTGCAGTTGCATGATCTCTTTCATCCAGGGATCCTAAAGTGCTTTACAAATGCTAATAATCTAGGAGTACAAACTTCGTACAGTCATTGTTTGAAAACTAGAAGCTTTATATTTTTGTTCTTGTTGATAATTTTACCTTAGATACAACTGTACTCCTCAGTTTTCACTAATTACAGTAGCAATCTGTATCCTTACCCTTAGAGGTAGGTGTACATTATTAATGTATAGAGCACTAATATGGCCTGTGATGATAGCATATCTTGTTTCTTTTAGCACTATTATGCATCAAATACTCTGCAGTTTTCCTGGTTAAAGTATGTCTTATTTAAGAACCCAAAATACCTGCAAAAAGGAATGCTAAATTTTACTTCAAAGCAAGGACCCAGTCCCATACAAAAGTAGTATGAAAGTAAGATTTTTGGAAGATTTTCAGGAGCCAATGCAGACGTCTGTTTTTATCTCAAAATTTTCTTTTAAAAGTGACATTGTTTTTACTGATTACTCAGCATGTGCAATTTTCACTAAATTCTTTCATTAAAGGTCACAAAAAGAAGTCTCAGTTCATTTGAAAAGGAATAAAATATTCGAGCCTAGATACCCTTTAAAATGTCTGTTTGTTTTATGCTTAAGGTAAGTGAAGCTGGTTTGAATGGGCTTGCTAATTAATTTTCCCCAATCATAATTCTTGGTAAGGATGGGGATTCTTTGATAGGAAAAAAAATGAGTATTGCAAGAGCATGTTATAGTAATGTTTTGGTTACCTTAGGGAGTTAGCAGGCAACTTTAAGTTAGGTTGTTCTAATTATTTTAACTTGAGAGTCCTGGAAACAAAAGCAAGTACGTACAGCATGGGCAATGAGGGAGTAAATTTCCCTGGCAAAAGCGGCACAGCGTCCATAAAACACTGTTTTGAATGGACCAACGGTGTTTTTGTATCTCTGTTTCCATTCAGTCCTTGCCTGTTTGACGAGACTGCCAATTGTAATGGTTGTTTGGAATGGTAGTTTTGGTGGTAGATCTGTCTACTGGGAACTAGAGAGTGTTTTTAAATTTTATTTTAGTTAATTGAAATGCCATCAATAGATAACAAACTCTTATTTGTAACAGAACCATATTTGAACCTCTGACTTTGTGTTGTAATGTTCCATATGCCATTACCAATCTTCCTCAGAAATCTAGTCCAAATTTTGTATCTTTTAGTGGAAATTTCTTAGGCAAGACATACAAAATGCAAGCGAAGCATATAGAATTTTTTTTTCCATCTGGGATAAATTTTTCCTACATTTATATCAAACTATTTAGTCATTGTATTGTAAGCAAATCAAGTCCTCCCAAAATGCCCCTTGTTGATATCCAAACCCTCCCAATTCATGATGCAGGCACTTAATTTTCCTCACAGGTGCCTATCCCCAATAGGTCATCCAAAATATCCTCAAAACTTAAACAAGAAGGCTTTGCTTTTACTATTGCTATGCAAATTTTCCAGTATCTGATTTGATCCTGTTCAGGGCTAATATCATAACAAAGCATCCTGCCCTATTAATGCCAATGCAGAAACCTAACAGAATCTTTAGCTTTCTGCAATTGTACAGAGAAGCAGTAGAGTCATCATGTGGTTTGAGGCTAAGAATCAGGAGCTCCTGAGTTCTAATTCCACCTCTAATATTGTATTTTTATATATCTTTGGCAAGTCAAATAACAGCTCTGAGTCTGTTTCATAATTTGTGAAATGTGAGCACTAGGAGCCCTAGTCATGGACCAGGTCCCCATTGTTCTAGGTGCTCTACAAACACAGAACAAAAAGATGGTCCCTACCCCAAGGAGTTTGTCAACTTATCACAGGTGAAGGCCTGATTCTGCCATCCCTACTTAGGTTTAGTAGTAACTTACTTTGAGTGTAGTCCTATTGAAATCATTAGTACGACTTAGGGAGTAATGGTCTTGTCAGCCTGATTGCTGGTGACAGTCACTCCCAGGGATGTTGTGAGTCTCCTTTACTTAAACCGTAGTGTTGTTAGCACGTTGTTCCCAAGAAACCAGTGTTGTAGTGGAAATCTAGAGTTCCTCCATTTCATTAACATTTAAATAAATACATATCATTCCTCCATTGTTCAGGAGAGACAGACCCTACTCTTAGTCCTATCTAAGAATGTCAGCATTCTAGTTTGCGCCTCCAAAGAGTTCAAGTAGCTAAGTTCACTTCTATAAGGATAAAGGTGGGAGATAGGAGTGGAATAGTTTAGATGTGTCCTTGCTTTCCAGCCTCAAAATATAGCCACATTTTTGCATTCTTACTGTTTGGAATAATAAGTGATGTATAAACAGCCTAAAATTAACTTCCGTCATGTGTGGTAATACATATTTTTAATATAGAGCGTATAGGACATACACAGAAGCAGATAATAAACACTTACCATTCTTCAGAAGGCAGCAGGTCCGGCTGCACTGCTGGGCTGTGACTTCTGCATAAATCTTCAGCACCTGGGCTCCCCTCTTCTGAGATTCCTCCAGATCAATCAGAAGACCTGGGAAGCGTCGGATCCAGCAGTTTTTGTAAAAAGTAGTGGGTGAGCAAAGAGAATCTGACCTCCACGCCAAACCCAGAACAAACAGCACTTCTGCTACTGCCACCAACAGAAACATCTCCTCAATGTGATCGGCTTAGTAAGCACCCGTTCTCCAGCCCGAAGCACTGGGGACTAGCCAACATTTTGAGAGAGAATCTCTTGAGAAGTGGCAACACTGCCAGGAGAAGGAACTAGTTTCTTTTAAGCTGTTCCCATGATCCTGCTTGACTGAGCCATTTTCTGACTTACATATTGTAGGGTTGGGGTTTTTTTCTTCTTCTTCTTTTCTCTCAAGATGAGTCCCTGGGAGACTGTTGAAATTCTTAATGTCTCTTTCATGAATTTCTATTCTTCTGCACCCCAGATACACACTGCCTTTAATCATTCAAAAAGCTGGACCACGTGATCCTGAGTCAGCCTTGCTTGTCCTGTTAAACCAAACTACTGCAGACAGTTTTAATGTGTGAATAAATACAGAATAATGGTGATCCTAGCAGAATCACTCCAGTTCTTTCTCTGGAAAAAGCAAATATTTCAGTCATTTGAGAGCAGAGAGGTCTCCCATCTGGTTCAGGTTCATTATTACACGTAACACAGAAGAAAGGGATTGGTTTAGTCTCCTGATACTTTTTGAATGAATTGGTGGCCACACATATATTTCCTTTTCTTATTAGCTACAGTTTAAGTATTTAAATAATTTCTGCTGCATAGCAACCAAATATGGGAAAGTTGATTCTACTTCCCACCCCCTTCAGTTCTTCAAAAAGCATTTTATTTTATTTGTTTAGATAACAATAACAATTGGCAATGACTCAAGGAGGGTGCATCCTGCACGTATCATCAGATGGACTGAATAGTTAATTGGTCTTTTCCATCTCAAAGTTCCACAAGACTAAGAATTCAGTTTGTATGGACTTCTCTGCTTATGTTTGATCTTGTAGAAGGTCTGACATTATACGTGCTCACATTGTAACAGGGAGCAGCTGGAGTCAGTACAGTTCTTCACATACCTGCCCTGCAAAAACTAACCCCTGCTTTTTGAACATCTGCTCCGCTCCATGATTTCCTCCTTTGTGAATGTGCGCGCGACAGCCCTGTTAAAAAGCTTAAAGATGTTACAGTACACCAGATAGTTTATAATCAGTGGACTGTATGTGCAGATTTGAAGGATGTCAGTAGAAAAGCAATCCTTTGCTATTAATATGTATTTTATAAGAGGATGTGATTTTTCAGCAAAGATAGCATCAAGAAAATTTCTCTGGTTGCACCTAAAAACATCAAGGTTATATGCACATAATTGAATTTTTCTTGTGAACTACATATTGATGTTGCCTTTAGGTATTCTTTGCAACATCAGGCCTTGATCCTGCAAGTAGGTCAGTGCAGGTGCAGCCTTATGTCTGTATAGAGCTCCTTTGAAGTTAATGGGGCTCAGCACAGGACTGCTCACATGAATCCAATGGCGGAACAGGAGCCATAATTACTGAATACCTTTATTGGCTACAGTCACAAGGATTCCAAACAGATACCTGTGTGTGCTCAATTTTTTGTATATCCTAACCTAATCATTTACCGAACCCCCTAACACTCAGTGTTGGGAGTATATACCCCTGAAATAACTCTTGCATTAATTTTCCACTTTTAGCCAGAGGTCTCTTGATTTTGGGCAATCCCAGAAGTAGAGAATGTCATAGCATTTTCTCCAGCATTTTATTTTGAATTTTGAGCCTGTTTTGTTTTATAGGACTGGCATGTACAATTATTGAGGGCTTCTTTTTTCCCCACTGTTGTTTTCTCCATGAAGGGAAACTTACCATATTCTGAACCATTTGAGGAAGGATGCAGCAAGTGGGATGAACTGGGTTCAAAACAAATTATTCATATTCTTTCCTCATTACAATGAATAGTACCTTACTCTCAATTGAAATAAATCGGGTTATTTGTAGAATAAGGTACTTCTCTACATCAGGAAGGGAATCAGAATTAGGCCCATCACATTTATAGGAATAGTAAACATATTTGCAGAAACCCTTGTTATACTACTTCAACTCCGCTGCACTTTCTTCTTTTATACATTTGCTGTGCTGCACAGCAGTTGATGTACAATCAACAATTTTTTACACTTTTCATAAAAGGAATTAGTAGCTAAGGCCCCAGTCCTATAACTCCTTCCATGTGGTTGGAGCCCAGTAACCAATCAGAGCCTCTCTGACTTCACTGTGGCTCTGTACATTACAAGATTCAGGGCTGGGACCTAAACATGTCTGGAGGTTGAAGTGTCACTCAGACCTGGTAATGACTAATTTTCATGCATCACATTTTCAATAAGGTGACAAATGCTAAAGTACTGTCACTTTTGTTAAGCCTGTAACTAAATGCTATACAGAGGACAGGTCCAAAGCAGACTACTTATGAGAATAGTAAGTGTTTGCCGTATCGGACCCCATGTGTGTAACAAGTAGCTTTCTGCATATAAATATTCAATTTCAACGTACACTTTCAATTCCTTTCCAGCCTGGTAAAGTATAGGTGTTGCCACAGGTTTTTTCCCCATCTCATTACCTCTGTATAATTTTTCTGCTCTTCTGCAGTGTGCTCCATTCAGGCTACAGTAATAGCATCCATTTTCCTTTGCATTAATTTTAACTCCTCTCTCCTCCCCCACTCTAGATAAATATCTGTAGCAAGAATAACTGCAAGGAATCCTCACTTTTTTTTTTTTCCTTTAAAGAAATGTAAATGAATTTTACCATCCAAGGTATCTGAAGCTACTCTGGACAATTCCCAACAAATCAAACACTTTACTTGCCTATTAAATAATTGCAGCTTTGTTGCCACTTTTTGCATCATTTAATGATGACTCTGCTATGGGGAGATGCATGAATAGATTTTTAAATGATAAATGAACATAGATATCCCCAAAATCTCACAAGAAGCAAACATCAGTGTCTTACCTGCAGAAAGTCTGGTTGTTCCATGTGCTCCAGGGGGAGGGATGTAGAGCTGTTTTCTGTGAGCAAAGAGAGCCTGGTCAGTGTCCAATCAGATCCTCCTGTTTTCAATAGTATTTCATAGATCTTTCTTCTAAGATTTACTCTTAGGAAACAAATTGGCAATTGTTTATTTTCTTTGAGATTACAGTCATCTATGATCCTGCTATGCAGAGAGATTTGTAAACATAGCAACAACAAAGGGGGAGAATGTACTTTGTAGCAATACCTGTTTTAAATGGAAATCGCTACCTGAAGTTTTCTACCTGCATGCAGGGATAATGGCACAACCCAAGAGCTCCCTAGAGAAGATGGTGCTCATGCATTAACTCTTTTTATGCCAAACCCAAGCAAAAAAGGAAAATAAACTTTTTTGCTACTATTAGAGTTTCCACATGCCGATGTAGCTGTTTGTTTGAATCTAAAGTGTGATGTTCTGGCATCAGTTGTACATAAGTATTGGACAGGGGATTGAAATGTGTGAAATAAGAATGCATTTGCAAACGAGAATAAAAAAGTAAATGCTTCCATCCCACATTCAGGTCTGTGGGGATAGACCCCTATAGAAATCTGGAGCCCTGGGGAAGACAATGGTCCAGCCGTCTGCTTGCAGAATCTGTGTTAAAAGTTTTTGCATATCTCATTGCTCTGGAATGTGTTTGTCTTTGCTTCTCCTTAGTGCAACAGTGACATTAATTTGTTGACAGGTCTTCTGTAAGTTTATGGAACTGAAATATATACTATCATTGAAGTGAGTTAACTATGTCCTTAAGTTGTAAAGTTCAGAACTAAACTTCCTCAAAGTTTGGAGGGAGAGCTGGTCAAAAACTGGCATTTCAATTTCACAGCAAAATCTACCTTTGCTGATTTTTTGGTGGGTTTGAGTTTTTTGTTTATTTTGTTATTGTTCTGAATTGCAATAAAAAGCTAACATTTCAAGCTAACTGTGAAACAAAAGTTCTGAAATAATTTAAATTCAGGACAGTTGAATCATTTTGTCTCAATAATTCTTAATTGTATCATTGACAGTGTTGAAATGTATTTTTTTTAATAATGTTTAAATGCTTTGTTTTATATGTAATATATTATAAAAGTCAAAACAAAATTAATCAAAACCAGAAGGTCAAAACAAAACATTTTATCTTATATAAATGAACCATTTAGACTTTTTCCCTCATTAAAAATGTCATTGAAATCAACACATTCCTGTGAAACATTTTGATCTTGATGAAACTGCATCTATCGCTGGAAAACCGTTCAGTTTAAAAATTTTTGACCTAGCTTTCTGTGAAGGTTTGGATTCAGCCCAGCATAGAGAGACTATTCAGTCACAAATCCAGGAACTGGATTCAAACTTCCTCAAGGTTTGGGGTGATCAGACTCCAAGGTTTCGGTTCAGACTCATCTCAGCTAAATAGTAGAGTTAGGTGAAATGCTGAAGTTTCTGTTTATGGAGTTTCCTGTGAACCTTTCCTTCAACATTGTTCCAAGGGTGGGAGGGAGAAGGGGAGGTTTGCACACCCTGAGAGTCTCTCTGACTTTGAGATTCAAATGAACCCTGACAAACTTGAAGTCAAAGCCCATTGAGTCTTAATTGGTTTTGTGTTATAACGATGTATAACCAGCTTCACATGTGAAACCATAAATCTGCCTAGATTCACTTTAAACTGGGCCTAAATTCATTGCAAAGGGGCACAAACTTTAGCAAATCCACTAATTAATGCACTGGAGTTTGTATCAGAACCTAGAACTTTCATTACAAAACCTGCAACCACATTCCTCAGAAAGTTGCACACAGTTCAGATAGTTTATTGAATGTCCCCCTTCTCCAAATATCATGTGTTGAAACACAACTTGCCCTGTCTGCACTAAGACTTTAAAATATGTTAACCATCCTGTTTTTAAACACACCATTTATCCTAGTCTAGACAGACCTAGAGACCAAGCAAGGGAATTCCAGCCCAGCCTGGGATGTATCTGTTACTGCCACTAAACAAAAGTGCCTACTAACAGGTGATTCCCTCTGCAGGAGCAGCCAGAGACAGTGCTCTATCTGCCTGATCCCAATTCAGAATTTGTTAGGAAACACTTTTCACCTGAATCAGTCACAAACTGGAGTCTTTTGCCTAATATGCTCAACAGATTGAGAGTCAAGGCCGTGATTCAAGCACACATGCTTCCTTTCTACTCTCTAGTGACTGAACATTCTCATGATCCATGGAGAATACCTACCAAGACAAGAACAGTTGACATGTTTTTGCCTTCAGAAACAGCCAC